TAAAGCAGAGCAGGCAGAAAAAGCTCAAAGAGATCATTACCTTGGACTCGTAACCGGTCAGGAACTTCATCTCGATAGATTTCTTTAGTACTCCCTCCCTGTTGCCCATGGCAGCTGAACGGATTATCTGCACAGGACACACACAGGTCGCACATGTCACTCTCTTTCTTCATTGAAGTTTAGATTCGAATCTCTTGCGAGGATTTGGGTTGCCATGAACAATTAAAGTCTTTTAACACCTTCTGATTTGGCATTAAGATCGAGTTCACCAATCATCAGAGGCAAATGAATACAAGTGTGAGTAACAAAATGTCAACATCAGCGAAAAAACTACGACGTAAACCCTGAGGGGAGATGTACAACTACTGGAGCTTTATGTTGTCTCGTCTCTGGATTACTGCTAGAAAAATTACAGCTGCACCTGCACTGTACTGCCAAAAGGATCGGCTCATCTGTCTCCACATGCATATGAACTTGAGTGACAGCCCATTCTTAATCCATGTGTTTTAATATGATGTCAGCTCCTTTGCAGCTATAACAGCTTCAACTCTTCTGGGAAGGCTTTAAGAGTGTTTATGGGATTTCTGACCTTTTTTTTTTTTAAGATTTGTGAGGTCAGACACTGATGTTGAATGAAAAGGCCTGGCTCACAGTCTCCACTCTAATTCGTCCCAAAGGTTGTTTATCAGGTTGAGGTCAAGACTCTGTGCAGGCCAGTCAAGTTCTTCCACACCGCTCATCCATGTCTGTATGCACCTTGCTTTGGGCACTGGTGATGAGTCATAATGAAACAGAAGGCGCCAAACCCAAACTGATCCCCCAAAGTTGAGAGAATGAAAGAAATTGTTCAAAAAGTCTTGGTATGCAGCAGCATTAAGAGTTACTAAAGTCATTTAAGGCTTGATAATCTGAGATTAACATCCCACAGTCAGAAGATCAACACAGAAAAAGTTAGTGAAGCCCCATAAAGAGCATACATCATCACCATTCATGATGATTATATAGCAGCTGCCTGGTCTCACCTCTATGTAGACATCAGTGAAACATTGATCAAATCCTCTCGTGGCTCCAAAGTCCAACAGCGCCACCTAGAGGAGCACACGGCAGTTACCACTTCCCATTAACTGCCAACTCCATATTACTTATATTTACAGCTGATCAAACTTCATGACAACACACAACAGGTTGTACTGAAACTCACCCTGTGCGCCTGTGGATCATAGAAGAAGTTGGACCAGTTTGGGTCGGTCTGCATGTACCTGAACTCGAACAGCTCTCTGACACACAGAGTCAAGATGTTGAGGCAGATCTGAAAGAAAAGACAAAGGTATACATTCAACCTGCTGAAAAGAAACACATGCCAGATTGTACTCGCTTTTGCTTTTTTGTGGTGTTTAGTGTGTTGACTGAACTGGGATCAGCTAAGAAAGGAATGTCTGCAGTTGAGAAAGCCCCTCTGCACAAACTAACTTGTGTAATCATAACCATCCGTACCTCGTTCTTCAGCTCCTGAGAGAGGCTCTCGGCTTTGTCCAGGGGAAATCCAGGAACGAGTTCAGTAGTGAGAACATGGCGGCTGCTCAGCTCGTCTATCACCTCTGGTACGTAGAAGAACGGATGGTCCTTTAACAGCTCCCTGAGCCAGACATGAGCAGATACAAAAACACATGAAATTAAGAACACAACACTCCACATAGAGTGTTAAGTCTATATATAAAACTGGCTAGCAATCACAGTCAGCCTGACCTTGAACCCAAGCAACGAACATTTAAAAAGGGGGATGGAATAAGCTAACTATATCTGTGTAACCCGAGTGTTTCAGGGGTGACGGAGAGCAAACTGCACAGTGCGGAGAAAGAACAGAAAGGAGAATCGAGCCGTGATGTGAGTTCAAATACTCGATCGGTGCATCAGGGAGTCAGTCGAGTACGATAGTGTGCTGTCACTGGCATGACAGTTAGGTCTACAGTCCACTTTATCCCAGCACATAGATTAATGCAGCCTTCCTTTTAACTTGGAAGTCAGATCTTGGAGTTGGGAATGACTGTCACACACACACGAGGTGACTGTGTTCCAGTGAGTACGAATACAGGCTC